ACGTCAAAATGCGGCAAGAACACAGAAGTGGCACACGGGATGCTGCCAGGTGCATCACTGATGTTCCTATCACAGTTGACATCTTCTGTGATCTAATATTGTACAGACACACCGCCGCATGGAATTGTTTTTGATTGATAAAAGAACAATGAAAGGTTGTTAATGGCGAGGTCATCTATGCGTCTGTCCTCCAATAGATCATGAGTAAGAACCAGTCAAAATGAGTATATAATTCAGCTTATCGTATAAATTTATTCTGATTATGACTGCAGGTAACTCGTCCATCACAGGGCCACAATTAATAATGGAAATAGGACCGAGTGGAGTCCAATTTGGTCTGTAATCATACGACCGATTAACAAAATCAGAAGACCGCGAAGCGGGAGTCTGATTTGTTAATCACAAGTATGATTACAAACAGAATTGGACTACACGAAGTCAGGTTACGAATTAATCAATACTATGACAAAATTTGAGAAAGAAACTAGATATCGGTTATAAGCTTTCATAAAAGAGAAAACAACTGTTAACTCGGTGTAATGCGAGACAAAAGCGCGCGCACATGACGCGTTCTGTCCACTTACACAGGCATGACCTGTTAACTGTCCCCTTAAGTGTCCCATCACACTTCCAATCACAAACATGACGCGTACACTATTAGAGCTCAAATCGGACTGGCGATAATCAATGGAGAATTTCGTTATAGTTTTGATTATCCCCAATATTATTACCCTTATGTTTCTGATCTTTTCTTCATTCTTCTTCATACGTGTAACAACTGTTACATGTAATTTATCATTGAAATATATACTGACCTTTTTCACATCGATTGCCTCGATAATTTAGTGGGCAAGTACAAGTGTAGCCATTGATACCATCTACGCATGTCCCACCATTAGTGCAAGGGTTGCTCGCACACTCATCCACATCTGTCAAATAATCATATATAACCACAGAAGGAAAAACCATTATCTTAAACGAGTGGGCATGATATGCCTGACTTGCCCTATGGTTCGTTCAGTATGTGTCATTTCTGTTGATGGTTTTGGAGGGTATTTTATAGAAAATAAACATCTCTAGCAGTTGTTTATTTACTAATATATCTATCTGTCTATTCAAACATTAAGTATTTATTATGAGACGTGCCATCATTAGGGCGTAGCACGACTTAAAGTGAACAGCCCTATAAACTTCAACCTAGATATTTCCTTTTTTTTTTTTCTGTTGATCACTTCCCTACAGAAACCACCATCTCTACAATTTCAACCGTAACTCTTTCAGTAGTCTGAACAATCTCTCCAGAGGTGATGAAAAGCTCTGACCTCATGTAACAAATACTACAAACCACTGATATAGTTATTGTTCTGAGGCGCTTAGAAGTTCATAACACCCTTCTTCACCGATTGCCCCCCTAGACCTAGTCAAATTACTCTATATTCTTACAAGTACAGACTTTTCCATCTCCACTGAAACCAGGTTTACAAGAACAACTGTACGACCCTTGAAGATTCTGACATGAAGCATTGACGGCACAGACATGGACTGAAGCACTGCACTCGTCTGTATCTATATTCGGTAGGGGAAAATCGAAAAAAACATGAAGAATCAGCTTCTAGAAGAATGACTACTTCTATCAATGGATTGATTCATTTCTAATTACTAAATGACTTCCCACAATCATCCTAGAAATAATTGCAAGTTAAATATGTCTTAAAGTTCCAAGTTAGGATAAAAAGGATGCTGCTGAAGTTTATGGGGACTCAATGGAACTATTGAGGATTTACTGTGTTTGCCAACTATAGAAAAGGTCACTCGCACGAATAGTGCGAAAAAAGTATTCGTCAAGTAGTTACCTTCTGTGTCCATGTCGCAGTAAGCAATTACAGACTTATCTTTCACAACAGAATTAAGCCAATATTTCCCGCTAACCGCCTTTCCACCTTCACTTGCCTTGATTTCTTTACATGATTCAGCGGGCAACTCTGGAATGGAGCCCAAGGGGACTGAGAAAAGAAAGGTAAAAAGATCAACCTTTCTTTTCTGATTAAACTTCAACATTTTCCATCAGAACTGTACATTTACCTCGTTCTCTATCTCGTTTGAAATAGTATCTGTTGGAATCCGGTACAAAATCCTCAGGTCTGGCCTCTTGGATCCTATTGCTGAACTCACAGGTGGATTGAGAGAGAACATAATTGAAACTTTGACACGCGACGTCTCTGTAACAGGCCTTTAAACACTCATGACCGAGAGATACGCTCATCGTTTTGTAAATGTGACTCTTCAACATCATGCCCTTGACAGAATATTCTGCCCCAGTCTTACATTCATGAGCACTTGTCTCATGCGAAGATTCGCAAAGCAACAGGAGAGCTGAGAGAAAAAGGAATAGCGCCATGGCAAAGCCTCTTTCCTTGATCTAACAACGACCTGAAATTATAGTAAAAAGATATAGATTGGTTTATCTTAATAATAACTTGATGAAATGAAAAAGCTCCAAATAAAGAACTCAGTTGTCACATTACGCATGGTCTGGCGGTCTTCGTGAAAACTTTACACAACCCACTCACTGAAATATTTCTTAAAATCAAATATGCTGTTTTTGAGCTTCTTTATTTCATAGCTCTTACCCTCTATGCATATTTTTCTGTAAAAATAAACTTCCCATAATGACAATTGTGAAGCTAATTATAACGTTCTGTTTTATTGAAGACTTCAACGGAAATAAGCTGTTGTTTTAGCTGTCAATGTGAAGACAAAAAATTTTCCCCCATTCGTGAGACCTTGTTGATTTGCGATTACTATTCAGTTCCCAAATGAGGTTTTAAAAAGGACTACTTTTTATTGAGACATTAAAGCCATTCTGTGTCCTGGCTACTTTATTTTTGTAAGCTTGTGGAAAAAAATGAGATGATTTTACAATTAATAAAGACTGATTTTTGGCAGGCGCAACTGGTTATATTCAAGGTGGTTTGACATTATCATTTAGCTTATAATCTACTAGGCTTGTGTTCTCAAGAGCTATAGCAAAAACATCAAAACGTACCGTTATATTTAAGATCATATGCTGCATTGCGTATAGACACTATGTCCCAAGTCTTTGTGATTACTATTAACTGCATAAGTGATTCGACTAAACAAAATCATATTTACAGTATCACGCGCGGGCTGTTTTCCTAGAGCCATGTATGAAAAGCAGCAAGTTCAAATCTGTACTTCTGTGGCAAATCCTCTGCGTCGACTTGAATGTTAAGTTTGTAATGTTGAGTCATAAAATCGCTACTCTCACCTGATATTTATACGCAGGTCCTTTGAAACGACACTTCAAGCTTTTAATACTTGTCACGGTATTATTTAGTGACGAAGAAGTTCGTTTTGGAATGGAACTCACAAGGGATTACTCAAGAACAGGACGAAAGGCGTCAATCTCGAGAAACTAAGTGTATAATTTGTTAAGATACATAAGCAATGACGTAACGACCTTTCCTTCCACCAAGATCAGAATGCAAGAAGTATTTCAAAACAGTGGTGTGTCACTTCTAGCTGCCTAGTTCTGACAGTGCAGATGCATCTATCTCTTTGAGATAATTATTTACTTCGTTTAGATCATTTAATACGATTTCGACACTTTCAACTGGTGAATTCTATCATTTACATGAATAATTCAAAGCAACGAAAAAACTAATTAAACGGACGCTATAAAAATTTAATTACATGTTTGTAAGGTGTCATTCAGCAGTACTGAATTTTCGTGTATTAGAACAGTTTCCGTTTCTTAATAACCACCCTTTTCTTTTTGCAGCCCGATTAATTCTCTATTATCATAGCACTGCGTTATAATTATCAGAGTAGTTTTATGGACTCATTTTATACCTCATGCCAAGTTTAATTTATTTCGGTTCTATTTGTTCATAAGGGCGCCACTGAATAAAATTTTAATTACTTAGCTAGCGAAATAGCAGAGATAAGATCGAGAAAGCGCCTTGAAAACCCCTCGATCTGCTTATCTACCTTGATAAAAGTAATTACAATGGACTAGTCATCGACAAAATATTCAAACGTTAACGATAAATACTTTCACATTCCACTATGACTAAGCCAAAAGTCTCAAGCGTAATCCATATTGCAAAGGCTAATATCTGTGGTAGTGGTTTCAATAGGTTGTTTAATTATTGCCACATGATTGCAAAAACAGTTTTAAGCGGGTGATTATAAAAATTAACCAAACTCAAATACGTGAGGAGAGCAAAATATTAGTTTCAATAACTCAAGCTACTCATCTTGCGCTTTCTGGTATCACATTAGAAAGGAATACATGACTGATATAAATTTTTGTTCACTTTTTTTTAACTCAAAAACCGAGTTATCTCGCGGATAGAATAAATTGCTTTCCTAAAATTGACATATTGGGTGATGTTTTCTTAAATGAATAAAAATTCAATTTTGACGCAGTATGCACTTCAGCTGAATTTATCAATTCCAAACTATTTAATTTAGTCACACTTCCAGAAAAATGTGTCCCTAGCTTGACGTACACATTTTGAAACAACTAAAGAGTTCTAGGTTTAAAAAATAATTGTGTATATTTATATATACATTTTTGTTTATTTATTTTTTTATGTACACACTCACTTATGACCTTACCTTAAATCATGCATTTTACAATTTAGAAATTAAAAAAAACTGATATCTCGAAAGATTAAAATTTAAAGCAAGTTAGATTAAAACAAAAACAAAAGCAAAAGAAAAAAGGCCCACAAAAAAACAAAACATGAGCTTTAATTGCAACTGTTTTAACTGAGAGAAGAACAAGAGATCTCTCGATAAGCGCCATGTTACTCAGCTTGACAGACCTTGAACAACAATGGAATTCTAATTCCTTACAGGAACCTCAAAGGAGGGCATTTGCCAGTAATGCTAGAAATGCCATGCTGTCCAATCGCTAAAAGCTAGATTCCCACAACACAGGTATTGCGGAAAAATTAAAAAGGTGTCGCTGTCCTCCTGCACACATGAATGTGAGGCAATGAATCTGTATTGTTGATTTCGCGCAGTTCTGGATGCTGCTCCGTTAAAGACATCATTCTTGTGGCAAATTCTGTCACTAAATCATTTCAAAAATATTTTCAAAGAAAGTTTGTTTCGCCTCAAACATTTCATTAGTTTGTTGTTGTTTTTTTTCGTATGTTCATTTGTCGCTATTTTCAAGGACATAAAACAGAATAATCAATAATTTTTTTGCCGTTCGAAGAAAACAAAGAAAACACCGAGCAAGAAAAACCCAAACAAAACAAAAAGCCGGAAAGACGTGCTTTGTTCTACCCATGAGTCCCATAGGAATTGAAAACAAACTGCTCCTCTGATAAAGGGGGTAGGTTTCTAAAGAAACTGAGGTGCTGCGTCGGTGGGAGAGTATACATGTAATTTAGTGTTAACAACTGAGTTGAAAATGTAAATTGGCCACCGTAAAGGGTAAATGACCAGTATTAGGTGTTACGTACACCTATAATGCATAATGCATGGTGCAGATTCATGATTGATGTCATGCGCTACCAACCTACACCGAAAAGCACATAAGATAAAAGAGTCATAATCTAGGTATCCCCGAGAACGATGGGGACAGTTTATTTCGATTTACGCGTCGAAAAAGTGCCTATCTAGGTTGAGTTTCACTCAGGTGAGAGACTGAAAATCGATGTAATTTTTAATCAGCATGTGCAGCTGAAACTACGTCTTGTCTTCCTCGGTGACCTTGCGTCCGTAAAATCATTTTAGATAGATGGTTCTCTGCCATCTATCTTGTTGTAGAAAGAAATTCGACCTTCGGAAGCTGCAAATAAAAATATCCGTGTAACTCCTCTCAAGCTTAAAAAAATCGACAAGGGACCAAAACAATAACTATTCCAAGGATTGATGAAACAGCGAAAGCAACGATAGCAACGTATCGGTATCTGGATTGAACCAATATGCACTCTAACACTGTTCCAACAAATGTGAAGCAATCCACAATGCATCAGTTGTTACCAAAAACTAGATAGAGCATGTACGAACCAAACCGACCCACACGATGAACGGCCGCTAAACTTAAACTCATGCTACTCATACTAACCAGTCCTCTTTCGTAAGAACTGGGACCCAAACGCTATTGATATCGGAAACAAAAGTGTTATAGGACAAAATCCTCCGACGCCTTGCTGATCGTGTCAACTTGAGACAAAATTCTCGGTAATAAAACCAATTCATATTCATCTGTACTACTTTCTATTAGTAAAAAAATGACAAGAGTTATATCGCTGTGAAACTTTTTCTAAGTTCCATTTAACAGCGCGAAACTAACTTTATGCAGTTTTCAATATAGGGGATCTCTTTCATTTTTTCTAAAGCAGAGGTTATTTCAGAACAGTTCCTTTAAAACAGTTGACGAGCCTTTTTTTAAGCACTTTGTCAGTGAATAAAAATTACTTAACGTTCACGCGTACGTCGAAAAAATGCTACTTTTAATTGTGTTGCTTTTGGGATCAATCATGACGCGCATCTAAAATCTAATTGCGTCTTTGATGGCGGATAAATTGTAAGAGTTTACAAACAAAGAAGTATCTATCTACTATCGGTAGTTTCTTTAGCATCAACGATAACGTTCAAGATTATAATTCTCTACGTCATCATCGTATTGTACGTGGGGTGCATTTGTTACAGAAAGCCGCGTCATGCAACGAGGGAAATATCTTTCATCTCATTTTCTTTCTGTATTGTTTCTTCATCTCCATGATTATTATGACTTCTTTTTAACATTCAACATTTCCAGTTATTAGCTCTTATTATTATTTTTTTTTTCTTATTAGAATTTTTCCGCTTTTCTATAAATTGCAGTTACATATCAAGATTTCTCGGTCTTCCTTTTTACAACTGCTACATTTTCTTAAACAACCGCTGGAAGAAATGTACTCTAACAGAGTTATTTGCATATCTGTTATTCACAAACAGCCTTACATGTTTCTATAGGGAACAATTGAAGAAAATGAGCTAAATTACTTCAGCGAAGTCTGAAAAGGATATCTAATTCTTAATTTTTAATAATAAAAAAAAACTAGGGGGTTATCAATTCCATTATTAGATTTTAATGAAATTTTCCTGACAAAAACAATCAAATTTCATTTTGAGTGATACTTGCTACGAAACATTAAGCAAGATAATTCGGCCACAGTCACGTTCCTAGGTCTGTAAAAAAAACTGCAACAGTAAGTTGACTAAGAATGAAGTATTGCCCAAGTACTTCAGATTGTTAATCAAGACTTTTCAACTGTTCAGTATGCTATAAATAAATTAGATCTTAGGCTGAACAGAAAGGTTGAATTTTCATTTAGCAATCTTTCTTCAAAGTAACAGTTTCGCAAAGCAAATGATGATTTTCTTTTACGATTGTTAATGACCCAGGCGAGCAGCTATACAAACTCATTAAGAAAAGTGACACTTTTAGTACGCAATCTAGCTTTTATCTTCACGGTGTGTCATTTTCATATTCTAACTAATTCCTGCAAGATTTCAGTTTTAAAGTACGTTTCTTACTGCGTCGTCATTTCGGGAAAAAAGGAAAGCTTGATTTAGGGAAATAAAACCAAAACGAACAAGGATAAAAAAAGATAACACTGAGACATTGACACTAAATAATAATGTCTGCTAATAAGCATTGTTCCCGACCAAAAAAAAAAAAAAAATTTTGAAACTCACGACGTGGCTATTACATAAATTTCTTAATTAACACTTAATTCCGCTGAGAGAATCAAGGAGAGGAAAAGTGAAAGGAGAAAAAAAAAATGCAGAAAGAAATACTACTTTTTTAATCGTGATAGGGCTGAGAAAATGTTTGGAACGCAGCTGTTTCATGAGCGTGAGAAAATGTCCCAAATCACAGATATTGTTTGGAATTATGGATCTCACAGCTGAGTAAACCTGACATTTGAATGAATTAATTAAGTGGTTGGAGTTTTATGAAAGAGGCAAAGAAGCATACTTCAACTACTCCTTTTGCTAAGACAAAAATTTTCTGTCTTAGCGATCAAAAACAAATCATGAAGGACTGTTCTATCCTTCTTTCACTGATCGCTTTTTTCTGCAGCTCCAAGGTAGATGCCGGGCTTCTAGATGACCAAGCAAAAATTCTTACAGATTTTAAGTCGAAGTACAACAACAGCCAGTCTGACATCATTTTCCTTATGGATGTCTCTGGTAGTGTGAGTGACTATGGCTTCCAATCGGAGAAGATTTTTGTCGAAAATCTTCTCAATGAGTTCAGTGTGGCCCCTTATTCGACGCGAGTTGCCGTTATCACATTTGGTGCCGAAGTTAAGACGGATATTAACTACATTGACATTAGTCCGTTATCAACATCGCATCAAAAGTGCGAGTTTCACCCTTGGTTTCAGTACAACGTTAAGCATCGTTATGGATGGGCCACCAACATGAAGGACGCCTTCCAGAGAAGTATAGATGTCCTTCAACTAGCCATGGATCACACACAACGGAGGAGTGGGGTACACACCGTAGCAATCCTGATAACAGACGGATGGTGGAATAGAGGGAGTCCGGTAGATAACGCGAACAGACTTAAAAGCTCCTACACGACGGACGTAATCGCCGTAGGAGTAGATGGGTACAATCAGGGACAGTTACAACAGTTGGCAACCTCAAATGACCTTGTCCTTGGCTTCAGCACCTTCACGAAGTTTCGAGAACTTGCAATGTTTATTAGAGGAGGTAAAGATTTTTGTCAGTCCCTCGAATTTTTCTTTTTTTTTTTTCACTTAAATATTTTTTCAAGACAAATCCGAATTTAAAGAACGAGGAACAAAAACTAAAGGACTGAATGCTAATTTCTCTTCTAAGAAAAGGTTTTTTAAAACGAAGTAATGTCCTCTTTCCTTTGCGCCCAATTTCCTAAGAAAAATCAAGTAATTGAAAAAGAACTCTACGGTATTCTCTCTAGTTCCAGACTGAAGAACTTAAAACATGTCGCGAACGGGCTGTGTTTGGAAGTTTCCTAAGTAGCGGAATTTCGGATGAAACAAATCCCCAGCTTTAACTGCTTCTTTGTCGTCCATGAGATGTTTTTGCCCAATTGTAAGGAAATCCGACAATTCCACAAAATTGTTCTAGTTTCCTTTCTAATCAGTGCACGTCGAAGTGAACGACAATGATATAAATGGCAACAACTCAACATATTATTATCCTCATTTGGAAAACTAAATTCTATATTATTACTCAACTTTTATCTTTTTTTTATTATTATTATTATTTATTAAGAAACCTGGCTTAGCTACAATTTAGTATGAATTATCCATTACATTCTTGTTCATTAAGACTACAATTCACTTTTACTCATCTATCCTAAATTTCTCTAAGAACAATTTCATTAATTAAGTTTTATACAATTTGTTTTGTAGCCGCCTTGTTAGGATTCACTTTTAAAATGTATTTTAGCGAGGGCCTCGAAATATTTAGAAGCTGTTCATTGTGCGAATATTATTTTTGCCAGGTAATTGGATTTCCCAGTGATACGATCAATATTTTCCGGCCGTATAGGACCTTAAAAACTATATTTGTTTCAAGAGAAATGCGCCAAATATGACTGCCATAAAAATACTAGCCATCACAGTTTGTTTTAATCGTTCGAGAGTGTCCCGGGAAACTGAAAATAACAGGATGACAGGATCAGTCCATTACATAGGTAATAACGTACATGAAAAAAAATAATAAAATACGCGCTTCTGATTGGCTGAAAACAACTGCATTCTCATGTAACACGGGTGCAAAGTTGTAACGCAAGTGCAAATTACAAATAGCACGCGCTCGCTCTCAAAGTTTTGTCTGTTTTCCTTTCTGTGATTTTTTTATTGTAAATTATTGACAAGTAATATAATTATTTCTCGTGCAATTTGATGTAATTAACAATTGTAAAATTTTTAGACTGCAATTTTGCCGTCTTTGGAAAATTTACTCGTGCTTATGAACACCATGCAAACTGCACACGAAATCATGTTATCACCTATACTAATAAATTCCTGACAGTATCTATGAATGTGTATGATGATAATTCCCCTACAAGATGGCAAGATAAAAAATTTTATACATTCATCTCATCATTTTTTTCCTGAAACAGACGCTCACGACAAAACGTTTATGGAAGTAGACTCCAGTAAATGCACCTCTGGCGGCTGTGATCCCAAAGCTTTCTGCGCTTGCGGTACAGTCAGTGCAGAGTACCAGTGCGTCTGCAGACAAGGATATCGTGGTGCGGGCCTTGCAAATGGCGAAGGCTGCTCTCGTAAGTTCCTCTTAATTTATTCTCTTGAGGACGATCATTATCATTATCATCGTCGTTTTATTGATAATGTTATTGTTACTGCTGTATTTGTTGTTATCGTTTTTTCTTTGGACTTATGTATTTCCTGTTTTGAGCTAGATCGTTCGACCTTATCAAACTTTGATAATTTGGTTTTTATGCGTCCTCACTGTTACAACTGATTCCCCATAGTTCTTGTTTTATTGTTTTTTCAACAATTGAGTTAGGTTCCCAGTAGT